GTTTAGATTCTTGGACATCATTCTAAGTTTGAGCTTAAAGCTTCCGAATGCATATTTCTTGGTATGCACAAAATCAAAAGGGATATTGCTGCTATGAACCTACGTTTGGGAAACGGTTTGTTTCTATGGATGTGACCTTTTTTGAGGATGTTCCCTACTATCACAGAGTTTCTTGTCAAGGGGAGAGTAGTGAGATGGGTTACCCGTATAAAAAATTTCTTTACTTGTCCCAATCACTGAAGGGGAGTGTAATGATGAGGGTTGTCAAAAGTGTAGGGAGTTAAGAGTGCTTCATAGACGGTGGAGACAGGTTGATTTCAGTCCTCAACAGTCCAGGCCAGCTCTAGTTTCCTCTGTGTCTCCAGATCCAGGTACCACAACTCCCTCACATCCTACTTTAGATGAGATATCTCCTACTACTGAGCCTTCACCTCCTTTGAATGATCTTGATCTTCCAATTGCTATCCGGAAAGGGAAACGCCATTACACTTCATCTACAACACATTGTATTTCTCAGTATCTGACTTATGATCATTTGTCTCTATCCTATAAGTCCTTTTTAGCATCTATCTCTGCCACTCCCATTCCTAGGACAGTGCAAGAAGCCTTGTCAATACCCGAATGGAAGGATGCCATGAAAGTAGAAATGGATGCTCTTCTCAAAAATAATACATGGGAATTGGTTGATCAGTTGAAAGGGAAGAAATCTGTTGGGTGTAGATGGGTGTTTATAGTAAAACATAATGCCAATGGTTCTATTGAGAGGTATAAGGCCAGATTAGTTGCAAAAGGGTTTACATAGACTTATGGTATAGACTACTGGGAGACCTTTGCACTGGTAGCCAAGATGAACACTATCAAAGTGTTATTGTCCATTGTAGCAAATTTCTCTTGGCTATTGTTCCAATTGGATGTTAAAAATGCCTTCCTCAATGGTGATATGCAAGAGGAGGTTTACATGGAGTTGCCTCTCAGATTCTACAGTATAGAAGCGGTGAAGAAGATCTGCCGATTGAATAAAGCCTTATATGGACTGAAACAGTCACCAAGAGTATGGTTTGACAGATTTAGACTAGCTCTTGGAAAATTCGTCTATGCCCAAGCCTAATCAGATCACACCCTTTTCATTAAGAAGACAGACTCCTCCTTGACTCTACTTGCTGTTTATGTGAATGGTATTGTGGTGACAGGGAGTGATACCCATGAGATTGAGTCCCTTGAACAACTACTTCACAAAGAATTTAAAGTCAAAGACTTGGGAGAATATTACGCTATTTCTTGGGTATTTAAGTAGCTCGGTTCAACCTGGAATTTTTGTCTCTCAAAGGAAGTATGTTCTTGACGTTTTGGAGGGTTAAACCAGCTGACACACCAATTGGCAGAACCACAAGGTTAGAATTGCAGGTGGGAAGCCCGGAAGCCTCTTGAAGACAAGGCTATGTTTCAGAGGTTGGTAGGGAAATTGCTTTATTTGTGGCTCACCCGACTAGACATTTCTTATGCAGTCAGTGCAGTTAGCCAGTACATGCATTCTCCCACAACCACTCATCTTCTTGCAGTTGATAGGATCCTTGCTTACCTGAAGAGATGTCCAAGCAGAGGCATACTCTACAAAAATAATGGTCACATGAAGATAGAAGTATACACTGATGCCGATTGGGTAGGGTGTATTGATGACAGGAGGTCTACTTCTGAGTATTGTGCCTTTGTAGGGGGCAACCTTATTTCTTGGAGGAGTAAGAAACAAAGTGTTGTAGCTCGTTCCAATGCTGAAGCAGAAACTGGGATAATCAGGTTGATGCTATACTGTGATAATCAGGCTGCTATTAACATTGCCCACAACCCAGTACAGCATGACAGAACTAAACATATAGAGGTGGATCGACACTTTATCAGAGAGAGAGTTGCCTCCCAGGAAGTGTGTCTTCCATATATTGCCTCCGATATGCAGCTTGTTGATCTCTTCACTAAGGTAGTTACAAAAGCTATGTTGGAAACGGATTTACGCAAGTTGGGAATGATAAACATTTATTCCCATCTTGAGGGGGAGTGTAGAGATGCAGAGCAATAACTTTTGCTGTTAGTTATTTATTGTGGTCCCCATTGCTGCTGTTACCTGTTAGTTAGTTTTATATTTGTTGTTAGGCTGTTGTTAGGATGCTGTTAGCAAAGTTAGTTTATTAGTTATTTTGTTATTTGCCTATATAAGCAATAGGGACTTTAATGTAACTATTATCTTTTAATGTTATTATAAATAGATGAGTGGGGTGGCAGATATAGCCTATCACTCTTTCTCTCATCTTTCTTCTTCTCTCTTCGCAGTTTTTTTCTTATAAATCTGCATCAAGAATTGGACTGATCACAGTCCAGATTTGTCTACTGTAGGCTCATATAATAAGAGTCCCTGATTTAAGTAGGGTTTGTGGAGGAATCGTATCTTGAGTAGGATTTTTTTTTCCTCGGAAATAATCATGTAATTTTTTTTTTTTGCTTGGAACATAAGAGTTCTAATCTGAATAGGATTCTTTTGTTGATAGGAACTATTAAAGGGGGATTTCTATGGAGTGAAGAATGGAGCAGAACTCCCTTGCACTAGGAACCTAAAGGCTTAGTTTGGAAATAGTACAAATACAAATATGTACAGCATAAATACATGCAAAATAATATAAAATATAAGGTTTTGCAGTCTACATATTTGCATTTGTACTCCTCCCAAACTAAGCCAAAGTGACTAAGGCCCGATTGTGTCTCCGTCCTAAATGATAGAGAATCTTTTTCTTTTAATATGGCATCCAAAGTTGGATGTGATTTATTCCCCCTTTTTCATTTCTAGTTGATTAATAATTTTGGCAAACTGTTGTATTTGTATAAGTGGGGGGGGGGGGGAGGGTGTTTTTGGGGCTTTAGTGGTTTAGTGGTTTAGGGGTTTAGGTTTTAGGGTTTTGGGTTTTCTGCATTGGTTGTTGTCTTTTGTTGGAAGTGGGCATCCATATTTAGGCTTTCCTCCATCTTTTTGTTTGTTTTAAGGATACGTCCTAGGGAAGCTAGGAAGCTAGAGAAGTTGATGAGGGACTTATTGTGGGATCCAGGACAAGAAAAAAAGGATCATTTGGTTAAATGGGAAATTGTTTGCAGATGTAAAAAAGAGGGGGATTGGGACTTGGGAGGGTGGTTGAAAAAAAATCAAGCTCTGTTAGGGAAATGGTTATGGCGATGACCATTGGAAAGTGAGAGGTTGTGGCATGAGGTGGTGAGAAGCATTCATGGGAGTTCAGAGAATGGATGGGATGCCGGTGTATCAAGGTAGGCTAACCTGGCAGCACCTTGGAAGGACATTCACAACACCCCTCTAAAGTTTCTCCATTTTATCAGGTATGAAGTTTGTTCTGCAATGTTGTTCGTTTTTGGGAGGATATCTGGGTAGGGGACACCCCTCTAAAGGACTTTTTCCCTTTGTTATTTTTTGTTTCTTTGTATAAAAAGAGGTGTCTCAAAGTTTGTCTCACCCTCGACAACACCCTTAGCTCCTAATTGGGATTTTGGGTATTGTGGAGGACTATGGGATGATTAAATTGAATCTCTCTTTGACTTGCTATGTTGCCTTAATCAAGTTTGCTTGGATCCCTCCAAGCCAGACACAAGGGTGTGGGCTCTTAGACCCAAAGGGACCTTTACTTGTGCTTCTTACTTCAAGTCTATGTCTCAGTCTTCTCCCCCAAAGATTATACAAAAGAGAAGACCTTTCCTCTGTATTTCTCCCAACCGGTGTATCCTCTGCAAAGCTCACAGGGAGGATTGTTACCATATACTAATATTTGTCCATTTTTTGTAGACCTTTAGGCTTGGCTACTTTTTTTGTTTGGGAGTAGTTGGAGCTTACCAGCAGAAGTTCACATGATCTTTGACCATTCTACTTTCTCTTGGCCTACAAAAAGAGGGAGAACTATGTGGAGATGTGTTCGAGCTGCCCTGATTTGGACTCTTTGGGAAGAAAGGAATGTTAGAACTTTTCAAGAAAAGGAAAGGAGCAGTCAGGAACTGAAAGGCTGTGTGTTGCATAGGGCAATACTTTGGCTGAAGATTTTGGAAATCTTTCATCAATTCTCTTTTAATGACTTTTGGAGAAACTGGTTAGCAGCAGCGAGGTGTTCAGCCTTTAAGAACAAGTTAATTACAAGCTGGTCTCCTCCATATGAAGGCTCACTGAAATTGAACTTTGATAGAAGTAGCATGGGTAATCCAGGATTGTCCAGAATGGGGGGTGCTCTGAGAAATGAGAATGGAGATATTGGCTTTACTTGGGTCCTTTAAGATTCGGAGAGACTATCAGGGCAGAGCTATTAGCTGATGTACAAGGGGTGCAATTTACAAACCAGCTGAGGGTAGAGCATCTGATAATTGAAGGGGATTCCAAGGTGGTGGTTGGGTGGTTGAAAAGTCCTGAAGATGCTATATGGTGCTACAAGAACGAAATGAAGAAATTTAGTTGGTGGACAAGGAATATGTTGGTCTCTTTATAGTGGATGGGAAGATCAGCAAATACTTTGGCTGATGTGTTAGCCAAGCAAGGGGTAAATAGGGAAGAATTGTTTTGGGCTCAGCTGTGATTCCTGTATATTTTTCCCTAGTTTCCTTGTAAGCTTCTAGGAGGGGCTGCAGCTCGTGCCTTTCCGTGGGATGTTGTATGAAATCACAACTCTAAATCAGTTTTTGAATTAATAAAATTTTACTATTACTCATCAAAAAATAAATAAATAACTGTGTGCAGTAACTTGTAGCTAGATTCTCCTAAAACTAATAACATTATTACTTCATCATGTATTTGTGGAACTCATGTTTGAAGTTTTTGAACTTATATATGTTTGTTCTTTAACTAATTGAATTGTTGGATATGGTTCTATCTTTTGAATTTTATTTATCTTTTATTTTAGTGTTGGAGCTTATTTTTGTGAATTTTTGTTGATACGATGATCTCATATCTTCTTTTAATTGTTCTTCAGTACTACTTGAAGACGGGAACATGCAAGTTTGGAGCCACATGCAAATTTCATCATCCCAAAGACAAGGCTGGGATTGCTGGAAGAGTTCCATTGAATATTTTAGGCTATCCACTTCGTCCGGTTTGTGTTTGATTTTCATTTTAATGCATATAATGATGTGATTTTCATTTCTGGTTTCTGATCAGTTCTGGTACATTTTATCTCATTTCTTTCCATTGGCTCATAATTTCTTTTTCTGGTTTGATTTTTTTTCTCCAGAATGAGAGGGAATGCGCATATTATTTAAGAACCGGACAATGTAAGTTTGGGAACACTTGCAAATTCCATCATCCACAGCCATCTAATACGGTGGTTTCATTGCCTGGCTCTCCTGTTTATCCTTCTGTACATTCCCCAACAACGCCTGGTCAGCAGTCTTATCCAGGAGGTATGACAAACTGGCCCTTGTCAAGGGCCTCTTTTATTCCAAGTCCACGTTGGCAAGGTCTTTCGAGTTATGCTCAATTAATTCTACCTCAGGGTGTTGTATCAGTTCCTAACTGGAATGCATATACTGTAAGTCTTTCCATGCCTTCTTTGATCCTTTGCTTTCTGCAAATGCCTTTTGATGTCTATTCACAGTACTGGTTTGCACTTCACATGGCCAGAGAAGTGTGTGTTGTGCAAGTCACATCATTAATTGATATCTCTTTCTTCAGACACTGAGTTAGTTCATTGCTACTACTAGTATTTTCTTTTGGTTTCATTTCTTCTTGTTATTGTCTCTCTGTTTAGTTCCATGGTGATATAATACGAATGATTGGCCAACTGAACAGTTGCTGGATTACTAAAGTGTATCTGTGTAAGGGCTAGAACTTTTCTAGGATTTCAAAAAGGTATGGAAAGAACTGTTGAATTATCAGATTCTTTATGATTGTTTCCACCTCTTATTTTGCATTTTCCATGTCTACTTGGTAATAGTATTGCCCGAGTGATTGCTTCATCTGGCCAAGTCACCTAATGTCTACATAGGTGTCTAGTAGGCTTTGAGGTGATAAGTGACAAATTGATTGCAGGGATTCACTTAAATAAAAATAAAATAATTCATAGGTAAGGAATGAAAGTGTCATCGGCTGACTTGAGAGGGGTATTTGTGTCCTTTCATTTATATTTTTATGTTTAGTGTTTGTTTTCTCCTATTTTTAGGTGTGCCATACTTAAAGAGGGGCATTTAAGTAATTGTAACTCATTTTAAAACTATATATAAAGCATGCAGCTAACTGGGACAGGGCAGCCAGTGCACGAGGCTCCTGCCAATGCAGGGTCAGGGGAGGAACAGATGTATTCAGCTTTACCCCTGCACATACAGAGAGTCTGTTTCCAATGACTGGGACAGATCCGATTAATTATTCTCCCATCAGCCTTTTCATGTTTCTTCTTCTCCTCTCTTCTCCTATGGTTCTGCATATTTTCATTGGTATCTAAGTGAGCACTTGGGTGGCTGTGAACAGAGCTAGAAAAGGCTGTGATCTCTTCTCTCCTATTCCTCTTATTCTATTCTATAACCTTTTTGGTAAGAGTACAGATCTAAAGGGGTTGCAGTTTTCTTTTTATGGGTTTTCTTTTCTTTCTTTTGATTGATCAAAAAAACAATGGTTTTCTTTTGTTTCTCTTGACTTGATTGCTGTCACAATGAGTGATAGCTAGGTGGTTTGTGTAGTGGTGTAAGCCCTCTACTGGATTATTTCCAAGTGGGTATGGTGTGCTGTGGTGTGTGGGTTGTGTGATGTGCAGTAGTGAACGTTTGTACTTGTGCATGACATGGTTGATATTTCATATGCTGTTAGTGCGTGTAGCCAATTTGTGCATGTGGATTGAAGCATATAGCTTGGGAAAGGTGTTCTATTTGCTAATCATGGACACATAAGGGTTGAAGCATTTACTTATGTAGATTTGGTTGGTTCTATTGATGATAGGAGGTTGACCTATGGCTACTGTACATTTGTTCGAGGTAATTTTTTGGTGGGGCAAGAAACAATCCTTTGTTGCTTGTTTGAATGCAGAAGTAGAATATAGAGCTATGGTACATGGTGTTTCTGGGATGTTATGGATTAGATACTTATTGGGCGAGCTAAGAATTGATTTAGATAGACATATAATGCTAGATTGTTACAATCAGGTATTAATAATTCTGACAACTCTATTCTGCATAATAGGACAAGACATTGAAGTTGATTGGTACTTCATATAAGGGAGAGTTGTTTTTGGAGAAGTCTGCCTTCATTTTCCCTAAAATTTCCCCATTTCGTTAGGCAGTGATATGAATCTTTCCTAGAAACTTTTTTCTTCCCTTGATATCTTTGATATTTTGTTGATATATTAGGGATATTTTGGATTTCATTGATAACCCATGCATTTAAGGTTTAAAGTTTTAGAATATTGTAAGAAACCTTTTGATATTTCATTAAATTCATCCATTTTTTTAAATCTTTTCCTAAAAGAACGAATGGGATTCGGTGATTGGATAATTGGTTACTATTTTGATATGATTTACTTACTAAGCCACTATAATTCAAAAGTAAAGAAAAAGACAGACAATTACAAAAGAGGATGCTCAATTTAATCAAGATGTATTATAACAAAAGAGATAAAAATCAAAATGACAAGTAAATGTCATTGGTAATGAAGAGATGGAAAAAGAAAAAAAGTTGGACGAAGAGAAAGATACTTATTTAAGTTTCTTTACCTTCTCTTATTTGATCAATACAGTTCTTTGCTGTTGTTTTTGAGCCTTAAATATGCAATTATATTTCTTCTAACGATTCCTTTAAGGTTTATTAAGTAATTCCATATTTCTAGAAAATTTTCTTGACTTTTTTAGATTTTCTAAATGTCTTAGCGAAATTAGTAAAATATCCTTGAAAAATTTCCCCATCTCTCGATATTGAAATGTCCACTTTATTTCATATTGGGCCATGGGCCTAACTCTTTTATTTTATGTTATTCATTGCTGCAACTGCCCTTACTTATCAAGGGTATGTTTGTAATTGTATCATATTATTATTTTTAGAGGCAATATAACATAGTGGGTGCAAGTGCATGTAGATAACCATCGCAAAATCTGTGATGAGGGTCATAATAATGCGAAGGTAACCACCACAGGATCCACGATGAAGACTATCCTTCGCCAAAGTTAATACAAATCGCAGGACCACAATACTCCCCAAACCACATAAGACTTGTGATGACACTTGTAATGAGCCTATTGATTCCCCTATCAACAAATTTGTCATTAAGAAGAAATGACTGCAAAGAGGCACGTTGTGATGACAACAAGGATTCAAATATCGACACGATACGCTCGATACAGGGCGTGTATTGGAGCGTATCGGGCGTATATCGCCTTGTATTAGTGCGTGTCGGTCCGATACCATGCAATACAGACCAATATGTGTGAGCTTGTTTATTAAAAATTAAAGACAATCGCGTTACTCGAACTTGAGTCCCCCTAGATGGCAGGCATGTTAAGGCAATTCGTAAACCATTTAGGCAACTTCGCACTTGTGTAAACATTTAAAATAAAATAACTTTTATTACATATAGCATCTAAATAGTACATGTAATTCAAATAAATAATATATTTATGCTCAACAATTTTAACTAAAATTATAAAGAACAACATTCAAAATTGATATTTTATAAACCTATGTAATAAATAATCTATCAAATCTACATTAAAACCAAAAGATGATTTTAAACTCTAGAAATTTATGCAAATAAGATAATAATAATAAAATAATCATTTTAATACTTAAAATTAATATATATATTATTAAATTATTAATTAATTAATATTTTAATTTACATTACATTAAGTAACAACATATTAAATAATTACAAAAATAAAAAAAATATTTAGAAAATATTTGAGAGTATAGTATTAAATAGAATCTATCAACTCTACTAATTAACGTTTATACCAAAAAATGATTTTTAATTTTAGAAAAAAAAAACTATAGAAACAAAACTATCAATAACGTAATAATTATATCAGTAATTAAAAATTTGCATATTATATCTTAGAAATTTTAACTGATTTGATATATTTGAAATTGAAATTATATTTTTTATAAATTATTAATTGATATTCTAGTTTACATTTGAGAATTTAATATTTAGTTGACTTTTTTGTTAATGTAAAAAATTAAAAATAGTAAAATAGAAAATAATTGATGTAATAATTAAAATATAATATGTGCATATGTTTGTGTCTTGGACTCTTGATTGATGCATTATTAATAAAAGTTGTGATATTTATGCATTCTGCTATATTAATTGTAATATATTTTTATCATATATACCATTCAAATGTACATTTCCTTTGTATTTATACATTATTTGTGATTATTTGATTTTAAATGTAGTATTATTAATATATTTATGGAATTTATGTGTTTCCAAAGCATATCCATGTTCGTCTCCATATCCAAGTTGTCTGATACGATACTCGATACCAATACTTTGATCTTGGGATGACAAGGACAAACACCGCAACGCAACCGATGAATCACGTGCTTTTGCATGCGCCACATTTACTTAACCGGACATTGCATGATGCCACTAAGGCAGCAGTGATGTCAGTCCATCTGCGATCTAGCATGTAAACACTTGAGCACTTCTACAGAAGGGCGCCAGCCCATGTGATTATCAGTGAGCTCTCAAAAATTGGTTGTAGCTACAAATGTGCTTGCATGAGAACTCTGAAGATAGGGATTCCTGATCCTAAGAGATTCTCATGGACATGTAGCAAAACCTTGAGTTTCTTACTTGTTTTATGTCTAACGAATTATAACTGCCTTTCTGAGATGGGAAAGTTTCCCTTTACCATTTCTTTGTTCCCTCTTATAGCTACACTTCTTCTATAAATAGGGGAGGCTGGAAGCCCTCCACATGAGATCATCTGGGGAGAGAACACTACAAGAATCCTAGCAACCCAGCCCTTTGCTCCCCCAGGATTCCCTATTATCCATAGTTGTCAAGTCGTCGCCTAGGTGTTTTTTAGAAGAGCCTCGCCCAACGCCCATGTGTTTTTGTATTAGACGCTCACCCATATATATGCTATACTATTTTTTTGAATGTGCATATCTTTTATATCACTTTATTGGTTTGTTTTATCTTATTAGAATACACCCTGTTGTATATTATCAATTTTTATTAAAGTAATTCTCTTTAACATTAAAATTGCAAAAGTTTCTTTGGGTTTGAGTCTGAGACTAAGAGCTGAGAAGAGAAAACGATGACCGGGAAGTTTCCATTGTTCTGTCCAAGTTGTCCAAGACCTCCAAGGTACGCTTTTCTTCTTCTTGGGATGAAACAGGGGCTCCGCCTCCTCCTCCTCCTCCTTCTTCCTAAAATCACATTGGTACTCCTTTCTTACTTTTAACAATCCTCCTCCATTTTTTTTAGCCTGAACCAGGGTCTCCACCCCCTTAAACACAATCCACATCGTCCTCTTGGACAGTTTATGTTGGGAACGAAACAGGGGCTCCACCCCCTTATTTTTCATTCTTTTCTTATTTGCAATCCCCCTTTTTTGTTGGCTTGGATGTTAGCTATGGAATTTTATTTTTTATTCGAATGATTTTGTTGCTAATAGATAGTATACAGGTATGTTGGTTAGTATAAAAAACCCAAAAAGTAGCTTAAGAGGGGTAGGGATATATATTTTATACTTTCAAATTCTATTGCCTAGGCGCCCGCCTAGTTGCCTAGGCGATTGTGTGCCCTGTGGTCGCCTAGGCTCACGTAGGTGCCTTGACAACTATGCTTTTACCCTGCTCTAGCCTACACCTTCACATCCCTCACCTCTCCGGTCATCTACCATCCTTTAGGTAGACCTCCCTCGTAGCCTTACCTCACCACCCACAGTGGGAGAGCATAGTGCTACCCATGATTCATCTCTCTCAAAATCTAATTTTTTCTTCTCTCTACATCTTATCTTACTGATCTAATTTCTTCTATTTTTGTTATTGTGATTCACCATAAAATAATCAAAATATCACAGATCTGATTTCCAAGTCATTGAAACCCTAATGTGATTCTAGGTTCCTTGGAGTGATTTCTTGGGTTTCTCTTTTTTTTTTTTGGGGGGGGGGGGGGGGATCTATAATTGTGAAGGCATTATTAAGATGAAATAAAGAATGTAATATGTGCAATATGCCATGCATCGCTTATATATGAGTAGGTCTTTCCCACATTACACAGCTTCTTTGTTAACCTTATGCACCTTACAGTTTAGCCCAAAGTAATTCTGCCTGTTGATCCTTGGGTTGGCTGATGCATCTGCCAACCCATTTGCTGATCTCTTAACCAATTGGAAGTTATACACCAGCTTGCTTTTGCTACCTTACTTCTCTTATGACATGACTGAATTTTCATATTCCTTTTTGTTCGTCTTCATCCAATCCACCAGTGTTTTTAAGTCACTTTCCTCCAGTATGTTTTCTAAGTACCTTAGCTAATCTCAGCCCTTGGAGTAAGGGTAGCATTTCAACCCTTAATAATCCAATGCACCAAGGTCATCCTCTAATAATGTCATCAACAAAAAATAGTTCAAAAATAATTTATGTCTTCATCAAATGAGACAACCTATCTATGATACATTCAATTATACCATCTTTGCTGTGCATCTTTTCTTGGAATATTCTTAAATTCCTTTTCTACCTTGCTGGTGGATTCCAAACTATCAATTTCATTCATTTCTTTGCCTTTTTTATTTTATTATGTTTGTTGGGTAATGGTAGAAATTAGTTTACTTTTTTAAGGTGCATCTGAATTTGATATGAGGTGTCATGTCCTCTGTTGAAGATTGTGACAAACTTGTTTATGTTAAGGAATTCTTCTTTCTAGGGCCAGCTGGGGTCTGTTTCATCTTCAGAGAGCCAGCAGCAAACAGTGGTCAGTAGTCAGTTTTATGGGACTTCACGGCAAAGTGACACAACAAGTGTTGGAGTCCAAGGAACATTTCCATCCTATCGTTCTGGCTCTGTACCTGTGGGTCTGTATGCCTTGCAGAGGGAAAGTGTATTTCCTGAGAGACCTGACCAACCTGAATGCCAGTTTTACATGAAGACCGGTGACTGTAAGTTTGGTGCGGTATGCAGGTTCCATCATCCTAGAGAAAGACTTATTCCTGTTCCAAACTGTGTGTTGAGTCCTTTAGGCCTACCACTGCGCCCGGTGAGTATATCATCACACTTAGCTTTATAGTTTGATATAGRCCCCTATGTTGAAGATGCGAAGCTGTTTTTTTTCTATATTGTTATTCCTTTTTCCCCTCAAATTCCGTTCTATTAATAGTGCCATTTTTAATTAATAACATTTTAATTTCATAGTGAGATTAGAAGAGTTGCTACAGTATTCATTCTTCCAATACATGAAATGAAACACCATTCTATTTTGAATTCCTTTGGTCCTATGCGATTGCATCTGAACTCTGTTATTTTGTACTGTTGGAGTGTGACAAATATGCCCGATTATCATCTTTCCATAAATAAAAACATGTATAGTCATAAATAATTTGCAAACTGAATTTGCAAGACAACATTTTTGGTGGTCTCTTTAAGGTTGAAATAGAAGAATCTACAATAGCAACGTGATAAACCTGACCTTAGGTTTTCGGATCTGACACAACATTTTTCCTTTTGAAAGGTAAAATTGTCTTTCTTTTAATGTAATAAGTATTGAGCGTCAAAAACCTCCTCTATCAATGATTTTATTTTCATGATGCCAAATACATCATTTACACAGCTGAAACATAGAAAGGTGGTTGATGAGTAGGAGTTGGGGATTCAACAAGGGTTGAGCTAATGGCTGTATCAAAAGGTTGTGACTGAGTAGTGCAAATGGCTTGGTTTAAGAAATGTAGTTGTGGAAGGGACTCCAAGGTGGTTGTGGGTTATTAAAGAATACTAGCTGAGGTTTGTGGCAATATAAACATATGAAAAATAGTAGGAACCAAGATTTAAAATGTTGGCATCAGTGGAAATGTTGGTTGTCCAAAAATAGGATAGCATGTTGGAAATGTCAAAAATATTGTTAAAATTATAGACATGGTGGAAACATTATAAGATGTGAAAAAATATAAAATGATAAAAAGTATAGGCATACCTTTTTCAATTATTATCTTGTTCCAAATTACTAAACAATAAGAAGCTAAGGTTATAGAAAAAAAGATGTGAAGTTGTCCTGTAAACTTAAGATTCAAAGCTACATGATAAAATGAGTTAATGTAAAATTAAAACTCATAGAAAATGCAAATGATTCTAATAGATCAAATTTGTGTTTGAAATGAATATTGAGTTTTCTCAAAGTGGTATTCATGTATGTTAGGCGGGCAACACCTTTTGGATACAATCTAGGTTGAATTTGATTGGTTGTAACGCCTTTTGGATACAATCTGGGTTGAATTGATTATGTAGGGCCTTGTGGGTGGCTAGGCCTGGCACAACTCACCTCTAGAGTGGGCCTAGGTCGAGGTTGGCTACCATATGGTAGTCTAGGGAGCCACGTGGCATCGTGGCATCTCCTATTACCACTAGGACTCTGATGCAAGGTGATTACGAATCATTCAGTTGTTGGTTCGAACTAAGAACACTATGGGTCCCACACAATCCAAAATTTGTCTATCCTATGCCCAATATTGATTGCATTTACTGCCAAAAGGGATTTGGATTTGTTTCTTATTAGGGATTGAACTGAGATTTGGGACAATTCCCAATCTCAGTTGGCATTGGATGCAACTTCATACATAAGGTTTTGGTTCACTCCTTCCAAGATAAGTAGTTGATATGATCAGTTGAATCAAACCTAAAGCCTAGGATAGGGAATCAAGTCTAAAACCATAGTCCCTAACTGGTAGGAACCCTAGTTTTGTTCTTTGAGCTTTGGATGCCATTGGAGCAAGGAGGTAATTGATCTGGAACCAAAGAGAAGTGAGCTATGCCACCTATAGCCTGGGATTATTTGAGGGATAGCACAGAATTTTAGGTATGAACATCGTAGAGGGCTTTTGCACTTCTGGGATGTAAAGAGTGGGCTGAATGGGCCCTAACAGCTGCTTGTGTGATATCCTTTATTTTTATCTTTTATTTTATGTTGATGGGCCACACTTAATGGGCCTGTTATTTGTTCTTGTTTTATTTTCTTTATGTAATTGCCAAGCTGGCCGCCCACTTAAGGGCATACTTGTCATCATTAATTTTTAGAGATTAATAAAATAGGGTTAGAGG